GTATGGCTCTCTAGAGATTTGCCAACATATACGTGGGTCTAACAGAAATGGGTATTTAACTTCCTGAAATAGAAAATGAACATATCCTGGATTTAGAAAATCTGCATGGTGTGTGTTCTATTACCTAGTGTTCAAGATTATTTGATTGATTTACAAATGTACTAGTTATGTCATTACAGATTTCCTCCAATAAATCAATAATCTTTATAAGTATAATTGAACTACAGCACTTGGCTATGTATGAAAATGGTAAAACAAGGAAGGGGCCATAGAAGCTAGGTTACAGTAAGGCACTGCACTGCACTTTTAACTTCAGAGCTAGAATCAGAATTGACCTGTTACTGGTTGAGGTTGTGTACTGCAATTCATAAAATCAATGCTTTTTGATGCTGCACAATCATGGAAGAATAATGCTTTTGAGTTGGGAAAATGTTTTAGGTAGGGGAGGGTTTTTAAAATAGGAGGTTTCAAAATTTACAATATGTTCAAGGCATGAGTGCCACCATTATGGATAATACTGTATGCAGTTATGGAAATACAGAAGTGGATTTGGATCTGGTGTCTCTATGCACATTAGAAAGTCTTGTTTAATGTCTGTTAGCTTCAAATCCATCTATTGTCAGCTACTATCAAATTACCTATCGGTAAATAAGTAACTGCTCCATCAGAGCTTTGCAAATGGATTGAGACCCTCTCTAATATTGATATTTTTTTAAAACGTGCTTAAATAATTACTGAGAAAATCTTTGGCAAAAGTTGTTTTCGTTAACCTCTGAGGATAGGGCTTCAATTGCTGCAAGAGAGGTTTAGGTTGGACATTAGGAAAAACTTCCTAACTGTCAGGGTAGTTAAATACTGGAACAAATTGCCAGGGAGGTTGTGGAATTTCCATCACTGAAGGTTTTAAAGAACATATTAGACAAACACCTGTCAGAAATGGAGTAGTTATTATGTAGTCCTGTCTTGAGTACACGGGACTGGACTTGATGACCTCTCACGGTCCCTTCCAGTCCTACATTTCCATGATTCTAGTCCAGTGTGAGTCTGGGGGCCGTTAAACACAGTAAATTTTCCTACTGTATCACAATTACAGAAACACCTGTTCTAAATAATGTGGTGCTAATTCACTGTGAAAATTCATAAAGCTTTCACTAGTTGTTAGAATACTTAATTACTTATCTGTACTGAGGTGGTCTCATGAGTGAACATTGTACTGAGTTACAAAACACACAGGAATACAGGTCCCAGAACTATCCCTATTCTGCCTGAAAAATGCACCTGATAATGCTTTACTGATCAAGGTACTTTACCTGTATGTGGCACATTCAAAGGTGAGAATAGGTTTTGAAGGTGCTAATGGTATTAGTTCATGCAGAAGCAATAAAAGTATTGGGAGAAAAACTGTTAAAAGGTTATATGACTTGTCCTTTGAATTTCTTAAGCAAACCATAAGTGTATTGGTGATGATAATACTGTATATATGGCCCATGGGAGCTGCGGGAAGTGGCGTGGGCCAGGCCACCGCTTCCCGCAGCTCCCATTGGCTGGGAACAGCGAACCGCAGCCACTGGGAGCTGGGAGCGGCCATACCTGCGGACGCTCAGGTAAACAAAACATCTTGCAGCCCACCAGGGACTTACCCTGAACAAGCCGGAAACCAACTTTTGGGAACCCCTGATATAGATGGTGTAAATTTAATCCTTGTGCATCATGCAGCTAATGGAGTCACTGTTTGCTGTTTTCTTCTTGAATTGAATTCATACACAGATTTTTTAAAACAGACTGGGGATGCTGTTAAAGGATTCTGCTAGCCTCAAGGTGCATAGGAACATAAGAACAAAGGAATTGCTATTACCAGATGATATCTGTGGTGCATCTAGTCCAACAACCTGTCTTTGACAATGGCTAGCTTCAGATGATTCAGAGGAAGGTGCCAGTTCATGTTAGGCAGATGTGAGATAATTTCTCCCCCCACTACATTAGTTCTTCAAATCCCTAATTGTTAGAGATTGCTTAAACCACGAAGCATGAGTTTCATATATCTTCCAAAATATATTCGTATTAACTTTTATAAACTTGGATGCATGTTCATGAGCAGTAGAAATGTTGACTAATGTAGGAGTTATGGAAATGGACTTGAGGCATTATTAAAGATTTATAAGCATGGATTATCTACCTACCAATCTATAGGTATACATAGAACTTCTTCGTTACAAGCGTGATGTGACATAATTCAGAATGTGTTTGCCATCATGGATAGCCAATTACTCCATTTTTTGGTCCCTTCAAGCCTCCAAGCCCCTCTATTTCATGGCATACAATGTTGTGAATTTGGTTTGGCCTATCACTAAAAATATCAATTATAAAAAATGAAATTTTAACTTCACAGACAGTGTTTTGCACTGACTTTGAAAGGGGCAGTGAAACTAACTCTATGTCATACAGTATCCATAGTTTCTTATGGTGCAAAAGATGTTCTTAAGAATTTAACTATTGTCCTACTGATTTCATTTGCAGACAACTACTACGGCACTCCAAAACCTCCAGCAGAACCAGCTCCATTATTGTTAAATGTGACAGATCAGATCCTTCCAGGTGCCACACCTAGTGCTGAAGGCAAACGTAAAAGGAATAAATCAGTGAGCAATATGGAGAAGACAGGTATTGAACCACCAGAAGAGGAAGAGGAAGAAAGACCTGTGGTCAATGGAAATGGCATGGTAGTAACACCAGGTTAGTCCGTTTATCCACTTCTGAATTTTATTTCAGTTATTTCATGATTATTTTCTTCTGCAGTTATGAGGATGCTCACTTTGGGGAGCGAGTGTTTATCTTGTGCTGAAGAGCACAAGACTAATAGCCAGGACTCCTGAGAAACTGGATTCTAGTATAACCTAGAACAAATCACATGGAGTGTGTACCTCAGTTTTCCTTTCTGTAAAACAGGGGTTCCCAAACTTGGTTCGCAGCTTGTTCAGGGTAAGACCTGGTGGGCCGCGAGATGCTTTGTTTACCCGAGCATATGCAGGTACGGCAGCTCGCAGCTCCCAGTGGCTGCGGTTCGCCGTTCCCGGCCAATGGGAACTGCAGGAAGCAGTGGCCTGGCCCACGCAGCTTCCCACAGCTCCCATTGGCCAGGAATGGCGAACCACAATGGGAGCTACAAGTGGCCGTACCTGCGGACGCTCAGGTAAACAAAGCGACTTGCAGCCCACCAGGGGCTTACCCTGAACAAGCCATGAACCAAGTTTGGGAACCCCGGCTGTAAAATAATTAGCAAGTTAATTTTTGTAAAATGTTTTGAACTTTTCGAATCAGACATTGTGTAACAGCAAAGTCTTATTAGTGCATTAATCCAAAAGAATCTTTGTGAACCTGAGACAGTATCAGTGTGGCTTACTTGGTAGTACAGTCACTTGAGAGTCAGACAGATATGGGAAAACTCTTGAAGCCTCCAGAAAAAGCAAATGGGAAGGGCCAAGGTCTGTCAATGTTCCAACACTTGCAATTGGATGAAGGTGAATACTAAAAGGTACATACCCTTCCATCCTGTGGATCTCACTGCTCCAGATGACAGTGAACCCAAGATATCTGCTGGTATCCTGCACAGGAAAATTCCATCATGTCCCAAAGCGGGTGATCAATTCTCCTTCAGAGTTTGAGCAAGTATCACCATTTTTTATCCTGAAACACCATTTGAGATATAATGGATTAATTTTTTCTTCAAGTAAGAAACTGAAGAACTCAGAAGTTTGTATTTTGTAAAGAATCTCAAAACCATTGAGTTAGCAATAATAAGTGCCAGGTTACATATGTGTATTTTTCTCGTTTGGCCTGTATAGGTCTAGAAGCAATGTGAAAAACCTGGAAAATAAAACCCTTTAATCCTAGGGAAATTAGAAGTACAGAAGAAAACGATTGAAGTAGAAGTCTCTTTAGTGACAATCCATGTAAATAGAATGATAAGATTACAAGATTTCTGAATGTACAGGTTCTTATGAAACAATAAGTATTATCTAATCTCTAAGTGCTGTAAAATTGATTTTCACATTTCATTATATGTATGCTTTTTTTCTCATACTTGGTTGGAAAGCACATCAAATTGAATAACTTTCCCTGTTATGAATAGGTCTGGTTGCATGCTTTTTTGGTGTGTAGGTTCTGCATTTAAGGGCAATTCCTGAGCCTAGGTAGCTAGGCTGGGCACTGAAGAAACATGGGGGAATGAGTAGAAAATCCTCCCCCTTCAGTCTCCAAAACAGCTGTGGAACCATTCTTTGACCATAACTGCAGTGTGGAGACTGCAGCATGCCCCGGAGCCATTACTCAGCCCTTCGACAGGGGAGGATTCATACATTAGTGCATCCTACACCATGCTTTCATGCAGCTCTGCCCCATTCCCTGCATACAAGAACCCTCGAGAGAGGTAAATTCTACACTATACAAGTAGAGTGCACCCCCTCAAATCCCTATAAACAAGAATAGCATTGGATCTGCTGCCAGGGAACTAAGGAGGCTAGGCAAGGACAGGATTTGGTCCCTGCTAGTTAGTCTTCCTAATATCCTTCCATGTTGTTATATGAAATATATGCCTGCATGCAAGTTTCAAGGAAGCAATTTCAGGGCAATATATTTCAGTTCATAATTCAAATCTGATCGAGAAAAAATACAATATCTTGTTTTCCCTTTGCTTTGTCAATATATAACGTGTCCCATTCAAATTCTACATCAGTGGTGGTTAAGCTATATTCAAGAAATATCCACTGGTAGGTGCTATTTTAAAAGAATGCAGTATTGAGCACTGGATGTAAAAGGACCCCCTGCAAAGTAATTCCTTTAGGTGTGGCTCTCTGAACAAGCAGTGCCTCTCTTGACTCTGGTGGTTTTTTAAGGGCATGTTTTTGTTCAGCTATACTGACTGAGGACTCAGGGGATTGTACCAAGGCGGCTCTATGTACACACACAGTGTTGCCTTATTTTGGCAATGTAGTTCTCGGGAACTCTGTATAGTAGAAAATGTATCTGTGTGCTAAAAAAGAGTATTAGCTGCCCCTAAAATGCATTTGTGCTTTGTCTCCAAACAGACAGGAAAAACAAAATACATTAATGAGTGGGTCACTCCAGATGGAAGTAACCAAAGCCTTGGCACTTGTCATTGCACTTCTGGAAAGTGCAGTCCATTTTTCATAAGAGTTTCTCTTACCTTTAAAGGCAACATTCCATTAAATATACAGCTCTAAGGATCTGCAAAAGATCTATACAGTCCTTTAAGATGTTTATACATGCTTCACAGCTTAAAGTCTTACAAACTAGTAGTGTTGTCAGAGTCTGAGCAGGGCAAAGGACTACAGTGTGAAGATAAGGGCTGATGTAACAGCTAGCACCAGCAGACTGGAGGAGTTAAAGATCTGAAGTGAATCCAAGGGAACTTAAATAACCTGTCTTTATCAGACTGGTAAATGACAGTGATATTTCTGGAGATCTTTATGACTGTAATCTGATTTTTTAATTTATGTTATACCATTTCTTTGTTCTTCTTTCGTGAGAGATTCTGTGCATTTGTAATGTCTTCCTTTGAACTTGTCAGGCTCTATTGAATAGAGATCCAGTCACTATGGTATCTCCAGGTACCTTGCCCCATGCCAGCCAGAGAGCTCTCCCTCAGACAGCCAGGCACCTGTCAGGCTAGTGACCCTTAGGCATGGTTCATCGTTATCTTATTTTTACTTTGTACTTGCCACATCTGTTTGTCATATCCCCCTTTTTTGTCTCTTGTTCTATACTTTGATTGCAAACTCTTCATGGCAGAGTCTTTTTGTTATTTGTGTGTGTAATCTCTAGCATAATGTGTCTCTGGCCCCTTACTGAGGCACCTAGACACTACTGTAATATAAGTAATAAGCTATAACAATAATAGTGGCATTTCTGAGCAGGTGGCCCATGTCTCCTGGCATCTTAAAAACCATCTACCAGAAGTACCTACAACTGAAGTGGAAACATTTTGCAATTAAGGCCAAGCTGACCCCTTTGTTTATCCCCACAAAAGCTGCTAGACTACCTTCTTGCCTTGTCTCTGTCCAAGTTGAAGTCTAATTCCAGCCAGATACATGTGGCAGCTATTTCAGCCTGCCATGAACTAGTCAAAGGTTGATCGCTGTCTTTGCAGCCCCTCGTTATCAGGTTCATATGAAGCTTAACATTTTTGAAACCTCCCATTAAAAAAGCACTCCATGTGTCATGGATTATAAAAGTGGTCCAGACAAAGCTGATGAAAGCTCCTTTTGAACCACTCCAAAGCTATGGCTAGTGTCTTCTGTGTGCAGAGTGGGTGAGGGAGCCTCACCCAACCCCAAGCATACATAGGGTTGGAGACGCTGCTCTCCTGTCACCACCAGGCACTATCGTGTAAAAGGCCACCCATGTAGGAAGAGAGCTGGGAACAGTGTAGCAGCAACACAGAATGGCCTTCACAAAGTCAGTGACCTAGTGATGTCATCTGGCCTTTCATTCTCTGTTGGGTAGTGATACCCATTTGGAGGATGTAGGGGGATTCAATGGCTTTGAGGAATAAGACCAGGCCATTATAAAATTGAAACAAACAACAACAAATTGGCAAAGATTAAAAAATAAGAAAGTCACAGGGAAGGGTCCTTCACATTCCCTCTGATGCCACTTTGTCTCCCTATACCCCCTCACATTTACATCCCTCTCTCCCTAATGTTCCTTCTTGCCTTCCGGATTGTTTACTGCTCCCTCGATCCCCTCTCCTTTCATTCCCACTCCATCCATTCTGCCCCATTATCAAACAAACCAACCAGAACCCATGTAGCTAACTATTTACTATTATTATTAATATTATTTATTAACTCTGATATTGTGGTAGCACCCAATGGTCACAACTAGGTCAGGCCCCATTGTGCTTGACAGTCCCAGCCACAAAGAGTTTACATTGTAAAAGACAAGATGTAAAAGTTGGATGAGACAAATAAGTGGGTCATAGCAGACTGGGGGAGATGAAGCAACAAATAAATATAATAGGAGCCATATAGTTCTTAGTGATTCTGTACTAAAGATCACAGCACTCCCCCTGTCTAGTCATTATCAGGTTGTACTTTACTGCACTACAGAAGAAGTGAGTTTTAAGGAGGGACTTGAAGGAGGACAAAAAGCTGGTAGACTTGAGCAAAAATCAGAGTTTCCATCCCATGGGAAACTCTGATATTTCAATATTAGTCTTAATCTCTGTAACAGGGTGGTCTGTTCTCTAAGGAGTGGTGGGAACTGGGGCCAGTCAACCCCTGTTCCATGATATAGCCCCTTTTGGGAAACAGGTGTTCAAGGGAGCTGCAGACAAGCTGGAGAATGGGGGGCAAGTATTAATCAGATAGGTACTTCCTGAACATGATAAAATTAACCTGTTAGGTGATTCCCAGGAGGAGAGAGAGGATAGACAGTAGAGGGTAAGGAGAATGGCATGGGAGCATTGAATCCCATCTCAAAGAGAGGCTCTTTGAGATGGGATCCAGAAGCAGAAGACAGACTTGTGGGTTGGGGAATCTTGTCTGAACCACAGCACAGCACCAAGAAGGAGAGCTGTGGGGCCCCTGAACCAAGGAAAGAAGCGTGAGAGGGCAAGGACCTAGAGAGGCTATCTGGGGCAGGGCTGGAACCTGGGTAGGCTGGAGAGGCCTGTGTGAATCAAGGCACAGTCCCATGAAGGAGGGCTATGGAAT